TTTTTTTTTTATAGGAGAGTTTTTTTGTTTGTTTGTTTAAAAAATAGTTTGCTTTTTAGCCAGACATGGTAGTTCTTGCCTGTAATCCCAGCACTCAGGAGGCTGAGGCAGGAAGATCTCTGAGAGTTCAAAGCCAGCCTGGGTTACAAAATGAGTTCTAGACCAATCTGAGTTGCATAGTGAAACCATGTCTCAAAAAGACAAAAAAAGAGAAAAACCCACCAAACATTGTTTTTGCTTTTAAGTAATAATTAAATACAAAAATTACCCATGATAAGAAAAGAGTGCAGAGTTAACCAGTGTCTCCTGCTGAAGAGAAACCTAATGAATTTAAGTCACTATATTGAACAATACATGCATTTTAGGGTATCAAATAAACTTTAGAAATCCATTTTTAGAAATTGTTTAATGAGGGGCTGGGGATTTAGCTCAGTGGCACAGCGCCTGCCTGACAAACACAAGGTTGTTAAGTTCGATTCCGGTACCGGAAAAAAAAAAAAAAAGAAATTGTTTAATGAATGTATCAGCAATTTTGAAGATTCTTGGTCAACGTCTCATAGAGATCTGTGGAAACTCTTCTCCATATTATATTCTGTCTTGCTGTCCAACCTTTAAATGAGCAGGTTTTGATCAGTATAGTTGCAGACATCAGTAATTTTACAGTTCTGACTTTTGGTCTTGTTCTTCTTTGCTGTCTGTCTGTTTCAGAGAAGCCAAATTTTTTTATCTAGTTTCAGAATTCTGTGAATGGGAAAGATACTTGGGGAAGGAACCTTTCTGTACTGCTGGTAGTAATGCAAATTAGTACGGTCACTATGAAAATCAATTTGGAGGTTCCTCAGAAAACTAGAAATTGAACTATCATGTACTAGCACTAGAAAACTAGAACTAAAACTACCAGCTATATTGCTCCTTTATATTCACCTGAAGAAATTAAAGCCAGTATACTATAGGAGTACCAAATACCTGTGTTTATTGTGGCACAATTTGTAATAGCCAAGATATAAAACCTGCCTAAGAGCCCATTTACAGAAAAATGGATAAGAAAAATTGGTATAGCTTGGTGCAGTGGTGCATGCCTGTAATTCCAACATTCAGCAGGTAGAGGCAGGAAGCCTCCAAGTTGGAGGCTACCCTAGGTACATAGTGAGCCCTGTCTCAAAAAAAAAACAACAAGAAAGATAAGAAAGGAAAGAAAATTTGGTATATATGCACAATGGAATATGTAGTCATAAAGAAGAAGAATGAAATTGCGTTATTTTACGGTTTAATGAATGGAGCTGGTGATCATCATGTTAAGTGAAATAAGAGACTCAGAAAGCCAAGTGCTGTATTGTAAGACAAGTATGTGGAATCTTAAAAAAAAGATGGCATAAAAAGTAGAAGGGATACTATTACTACACAAGAGGAAAGGAATAAGGGGATGTGGGTTTCAGGGAAAGTAATGGGAGATGGATATGATCAAAATATGTTATATGCATGAATGAAAATACCATACTTGGGGCTGGGGATTTAGCTCAGCGGCACAGCGCCTGCCTGGCAAGCGCGAGGTCGTGAGTTCGATTCCTGGTACTGGAAAAAAAAAAAAAAAAGAAAAATACCACACTGGCACCTAGTATTTTATAAAAGTCACTGTTCTTACAGTGGGCACTTCTCAAAGTGTCTGAAAGGCTACGAGGCTACAAATCATGTGTTTGTATCCCGGGATATAGTATAGTGCCAGGAATGTAGGCAGTGCTTGATAATTGAATCAAATGAGTATTTAGGATATTGAGAGGAATAAAATAATGATTAGGTCAGAGCTTGTTTTAAAAAAATCACAAGTTTAAATGTGGTAGACTGATTTTGGGCATTTTAAATAGTAATAGTAAATGGTGTAACAAAGAAGAAGTTGGAATCAAAATACTACCTTTTTTCCCTCTGGTATCTTTGGACAGAGGGTAAAATTTGGTGGTAGAACAGTTGGTTAACACTCATGAATTGATAAAACCCTGGTGTTTAATTCCCAGCACTACCTCAAAAAAAAAAAAAAAGATTGTCTTTACTTATTTCAAAATATACCATAAATTAATACTAAAAGATTCTAATTAAAGTTTACATATTTTCACTCATCTTTATTTTGTTTCAGGGTATTCCAGACAGAGTCTCATATGAAAATAGTGGAAAAGTCAGAAATTACAGGTAAATATGTTATGTTACTATAGTCCCTGCTATTTTCTTTGAAATTTTACTATAGCTGTCTAACCAGGTAATTGATACAACTTACTGTCTAGTTCTCCCTCTTCCTGAGACGTTTGTACTGAGCTATATCCCTAGCCCTTTTTAAAATTTTTATTGTAAGGCAGATCTGTTAAGTCACTAAGTGACCCAGGCTGGATTCAAACCTCCCAAAGTGCTGGGATTACTGGTGCGTGCCTTATTCAGCCTTATTGTCTCTTATTGCTTGAAAAGTATACCAAGAAGCCTGGCATGGTGGCATGTACATGTGACCCCAGCTACTTCAGAGACTGAAGCAGGAGAATTGTTATTTTGAGGCCAGCCTGGGCAACAGAGCAAGATCTTGTCTCAAAACAAAACTGTTTGAGACATGGGGATGTAAAGTAGAGTGAATAGGAATTCCTTTTTTCAAATTATTAGTCTGTGTTTGTGGGGTTTTTTTTAGTGCGTTATCAGTGTATCTTTGAAAAACTTTTATTTTATTTTTAGAAACAGAAGCAAGAGAAAATGTTCTATTTACCCGGTAAGTAAAGGATATGTTCAAATTATATTTATATTTTAAAAGTTTATTGCTAGGCCAGGTGTAGTGGTGCATGCCTGTGATCCAGCACTAAGGTGGCTGAGGCAGGAGGACCTCTGAAAGTTTGAGGCCAGCCTGAGTTATGAGGTGGCATCCTGTCATGGAAAAACAAAACAATAACAGCAACAAAAATTTTACTCTAGTAAATGAAGCTTAAAAATGTTTTCTTTGGGCAGTCCCACCTGTAGCTCACCTCCCTCTTAAAGCTAGGGTGGGAAGATGAGGTTTCAGGAGCTGCTTCTGAGAGCCAGTGCCACATTGCCCTGTGCGTCCCTGCAGCGTCCCTGTCGCCTGCTCATGGCCATCCTTAGACTTTTAGTTTTTAGAGACAGGCTCTCGCCAAGACTCTGAGTTGCCTAGACTGGGCTTAAACTTCCAGTATTCCTGCCTTAGCCCACCAGAGTGCTGGGATCACAGTCATAAGTCACTATGCCCAGCTTTTACTACTCTTTTCTTTCTGCTGTGTAGTTCAGGCTGGTCTTGAACTCACTATGTAGTGCAGGCTGGCTTCCATCTTGCTGCAATCATGCCTCAGACTCCTTCCTGAGTGTGCCTCCATGGCACAGGATTACAGACATGTGCCACCATGCCTGACTTTCCCTACTCTCTTAAATGTTCTATTCTAGGTAATTGTATGGAATAGAGAATATAAAAATGCCTCTTTGATTTTTAGGAATAATTCAGAAGATAGTTATTGTGAGATTACTGGTGAGTATGATCAGAATATTCTTCTGATTGTATACTTTTCTGTTCATCTCTTGATAAGTAATGTGTATAGGATCCATAAAAAAATTTAAAGACAGCTTTGTTATTTATACAAAGTCTTCTATTTAAATTTTCATAACCATTTGAAGATATCAATATGTAATATAACAACCATTGTTAATTTTCTATCACCTTGTCTGAAATTCAGTATTCTTGTATTGTTCCTGTGTTATTTTGTAAATGTATTTGTGTGTGTTAATATATTTTCATTATTTTATTTTTAAAAGAAAAAAAGAAAAAAAAATTTTCATAAGCATGCTATGATTTTTCTCAAACCTGCCATTCCTTTTGAGTTTCTGTCTTGGGTTTCCACTCATCCATTCAAGGCAGGAATCGAGGAATTACCATTATTCTTTTCATATTCATTAGCTTCTACTTTCTGTCTATTCTGTCTCCTGAACATCTTGCAAATCTCTTATCTCTTATTTTTTGCCTTTGCTTTAGTGCAAATCTTCATTATTTTCTCTTGTTATATTTAGTTTGTTACATTTAGTTTCTTAAATTTCTAATCCATTCTTCATATTTCTAAACTTGATTACATTACCTCCCAGCTTAAAATGGTTCAGTTACCCTTTTTTGCTGACAAGATGAAGTCCACACTCCTTAGCACTGACTGAGAAAGTCCTTTATAATTTGCGCTTTTTCTCCAACCTTATCTTCTGTCCTTTAGAGGTATCCTGTGCTGTAGCCCATGATGAATTATTTGCTATTCCCCATATGGACTTTTCTGCCTGTATGCATTGTAAATGCTGTTTCTCTACCTAAAGTGCTATTCCTACTCCAATTGCCTCTTAGTTTTCATTTTTTCACTTCACTTAGCTTTTTACTTCACTTCACTTTAGTGTTATTCAAAGTAGCCAATCTACAAAGTGTTACAGTCCTTGACAGAAAAGGAACATCTATCATAATGTAAATTAAGTGTGGTACAAATTTAACTGTTGGACTCAACTGACTTTTTTTCTTAGGAAAGCTTTCTTTTCTTGTCTTTTTTTTGTTTTTTTTGGTTTTTCCTCCGGTACCGGGAACCGAACTCATGAACTTGTGCTTGCCAGGCAGGCACTTTGCCTCTGAGCTAAATCCTCAGCCCCTTTTTTTTTGTCTTTTTTGAGACAGGGTTTCGCTATACCTTTCAGGCTGGCTTGAACTCACTCTGTAGCCCAGGCTGGCCTCAAACTCACAGCAATCTTCCTGCCTTAGCCTCCCAAGAGCTGGGATTACAGACATGCACCACCACACTCGGCCAGCAAGGCTTTCTTGATGAAAGAGTTATTACATGATTTACATTTGCTATAAGTACCTTATCTCATCATCACGAATTGGTAACAAACAATTCACAGATGGGCATCATCCTGCAGGTAACATTGTCTTAAATGGAGCCTTCTCTGACAAATCATGGAGTTAGCTACTATGTTACTTGCTTACCCAACACTCTATTTATTTTTTAGTCTATTTTAGAATTTATCACATTAAATTTTAGGTATTTACTTTGGCTTTCTTATTAAACTTTGAGATCTTCAGTCCAGAAATTTTGTCTTGTTCATCTTTGTGCCATATACACATTTTGAAATTTTTGTACATGATAAGCCTGAATCAATGCTTGCTGAATAAATGAAAGCCTGATTTAAATTAGGCTTTTACTAAAAGTCTCAGGGTGAGGCAGGAGGATTGCTGTGAGTTCAAGGCCATCCTGGGTTACATAGGGAGCACAAGGCCAGCCTGCAGTACAAAATGAGACCCTATCTCAAAAAAAAAAAAAGAAAAACCATATTTTATCGTATGTACTAAAGTTTGCCATATACATGCATAATATATAAATGTTTTCCTTGTTTTTGTATAGCATCTTCAGTCCTTTATTTCCAAAGCCCAGTTTGTTATTAAACCTTTATATAACAATTTTTTGGGGTTTTTTTTTTTTGAGACAGGGTCTCACTGTATAGTTCAGGCTAGCCTTGAACTTGAGGCAGTGTCCCTACCTCATCCATCTTCCTAAGTGCTAAGAATAACAGGTGTGGACCACCATGCTTGTCTTTCAGTTTTAAAATGTTTTGAGTCTAGTTCTTTTTGCTGTTGTGTTTCTTGCCCTAATATAAGCTCTTACCATGTTATACCTGAACTGTTATAGTAGCTACCTTATTGGTTCATATTTTCTTGAATCTGTTTTCTTTATTATGTTCTTTTTTTTTTTTTTTTCTTGTCTTTCTGAGACAGGGTCTCGCTATGCAATTCAGGCTGGCCTTGAGCTTACTTTGTAGCCCAGACTGGTCTCGAACTTGCAATAGTCCTCCTTCCTTAGCCTTCCGAGTACTAGGATTACAGACATGTGCCACCACACCTGGCTATTACGTTTGCATTACTTTTCTAAAATGCATATTTTATAAAATGCATTATATCTTTTAATGGGCTTATTTTTATAAAATGCATATGTTTTATTATGGGAACATCTCAGTTCCTTAACATAGCATAAAAGATCCTTAAAAATCTTATCCTAATCTTTCAGTTTCATTACTTAGTATTCTTCATTATGTACCTCTGCTATCTGGGAAGTAAAAATATAGAATATGATAAGACATAATAAATAAAATATAATAAGTAGTAGTCTAAATTTTCCACTTTTAAAATTGCTATCACATTCTAAAAATATTTTATTCACACAGAAGATACAATAATCATCAATCTCTGTCTTTCAGAGAAGTTAGGGGCTGGTGGCATAGCTCAGCAGTAGAGCACTTATATACAAGGCCCTGGTTCAGTCCCCAGCATCCCCCCACACAAAGACAGTTAAAAATCTTAATGAAATTTAATTCTTAAGTCCTTATGAAGAACTTAGTAACCGGTAAATATAGTACTCTTAATTGATAAAGGACATAAGAAGTGAAAAATCAGATTCTTGGTGGTATAAATTTTTTGTGACTACATGTTTTTCTTTTCTCAATAGGGATGAACACATTGCTTTGTGCTCCCATTCAGACCCAGGTACAGCAAAGAGAGGTATGAATTCATGCAAGCACCTTTATTTTTAAATCTCTCTACAGTTGAAATGTTAAAAGTACCAAAAAATTAATAGTAACAGCATGATTTAGGGATGACTTACCAAAATGAATCAGCATAGACTGGAAAAACTTTCTACCTGCCCAGTTCACTAAGGATAATTAAATCACTCACAAATTAAATAACAGGGACATATATTATACCAGGATTTCTAAAACTTTAATAAACATATGCATTACCTCAGTATTTTATTAAAATATAGATTAGTTGAAAGCCAATTAAGCCTCTCCTCCTTTTAAAAAATAGTTTAATTGATTCATATCCAGTAGATAAGGGGTAAACTATGAGAATCTGTATTTATAACAGCCTCATTGATATTAGTGTATAGGCCCACAGACTATACTTTGAGTAACAAGTAGTTAAACTGTGTCTTTATACATTAAATGACCAGAGCCTAGAGTGTAATATAAATTACACTATCATGCACCTATGCCTTTCTAAGACTTTTGTTTAGGATGAGAATGACCTATCCAGTATAGAATCTTCATTATGGTTACATTTGATATTTTCAGAGCTTTTTCTTTTTCTTTTTTTTCTTTTTTTTTCATTTTTAAGTCATTCTACAGGGTATACAATTAATCTTGAGTTTTTAATTTGTTCCCAAAAAACTAAAAAGTAAATTTTTCAACCTTTACAAAAATTTTTAAAAACAAATTACATACAACATACCACAGCATTTGCTCATCAACTATTTACATAGTAATGTTGTAAAATATATTTTAGAAATTTACATTTGGTCTAATCACGTTTATTGTCTTTCCCAATAGTTTTCAAATGAAGAGCACAACCATGAAAGGAAACATGCAAATGATCAGACAGTCATTTTTTCAGATGAAAACCAGATGGATCTGACAGCAAGTCACACTGTGATGATTACCAAAGACCTTTTAGACTGTTCCAAAAATGAGAAGTCAGCTAAGATAGATACCACATCCTTTCTAGCTAACTTAAAGCGCCACACTGAGGATTCAAGAATGCAAAAAGAATTAAAAATTTCCATGGATCAAAGCACTTCCGGAAAAAAAAAAAATTCTAGTGACTTCATAAAAAGATTGAAAACAGGAATGTATAATGCTTCTTCTTTTACAGAACTTAATAAAGAAAACTCCGAAATTCCTATTTATTCCAAGGAATCAAATAGTGCCCCTTCCACCCATCAAATATATACATCTCTTAATGTAGGTGACAGAAGTAATAATGTGACAAGAACCTTTAGAGAACAAGATGATAGGATGAATTTAACCCAGTGTCATACAGCCAGTATTCAGACTTCCATTCCCATAACCAGTGAGGCCAACTTACAGGAATTTAAAGGTGACATTACAATTTATGACAATGACTGTATGGATTTGACAAGTACCCATACATTACAGATACCCTCTGCAGATAATTCATCTAAAACAGAAAATCAAACTCAGACTGTCATGGATATTGCAACAGATAATGGAACTAAAGTCCTAGGAGAGAAAACAATCTTTAAAAAATTAAATGCTCCTTTTCCAGACCCTTCCTTAAACTCTCAAGATAAACTACCTATAACCAAAAGTCATATTAGAGAGTCTGAAACTTGCACAGTCACTCAAACTTCTGATCAAGATACCAGAATATTGGCAGTGACCCAAGAATCTATATGTTCTAGTGGACCACTTACTCCAGGTAATAAGACAGTTTTTTATTCTACTTGTAACGATGCTATGGAATTGACCAACTGTCTGTCCAGTGTGAGAGAGGATACAAGTTTGCTAAAGCACAACAGTAATTATTTTAAAATATGTCCCAATCCAGATGCCATACCCTGTCTCATGGAGAAAACTATTTATTCAGGAGAAGATAGCATTGACTTTACCAAGAGTCACACAGTTGCAATAGATAATCACATTTTTAAACAAGACTGGGCAGATGTCCAGATAGCAGCCACATCAATATCTGAAAAAGGAAAGTTGCTCCCAAATTACATAACTGGGTCAGAAGATAGAAAAATGAATGTAAATTCTAGCTTAGTTCCTGGTGTACCCAGGGGAATATTACAGCAGAGCCTGCTCTATCATGGTAAAGATTCTCCTTCATCAGTTCATTATAATGAGAACACAGCAACAAACCATAATAGAGTCTATTCAGGGGCAGTTCTTGATAAACAAGCATCACTAGGAAATAATAGAAATACAATTTCAAGCAAGAACTATTCATTTTCTAACTCAGAGCCATTACTTTCATCAGAAAGGCAGTCTGCTGTGAAGGATCATAATACTGCCCTGAATGGTCAGATAGTGAAATCTGTACTAGGCCAGAATTCTATACTTCCTGAGCCACTGAGAAAAAGTTTAGATGATCCCACATCTGATTGTTCTCATGATAAGATGACTGTTTGTTCAGAGGAGGAGCAAGCTATGGATCTAACCAAGAGTCATACTGTTGTCATTGGATTTGGTCCTGCTGAAGTACAAGAAATTGATAAAACTAATGCAGAACATAGAACCATCCAGCTCCCAAGAGAAAGCACACAGACACCTATAAAAGTGGAACAATGTGATAAGAGTCCTATAGAAAAAACTGAAGTATTTATGTGTAATGATAAGGACATGTTAGAAGACAAAAATGTACAGAAACCTGGATTTCTAAAAGAAAAACAAAATCTTAAAAATTGCGAAAGGAAAAGTGTTGGTGCACTAAAAATTGATAAAACTGTAGTATTTTCAGAGGATGATGAAAATGATATGGATATCACCAAGAGTTACACAGTGGAAATAAGCCATAAACCTTTTTTAGGTAAGCCTGACTCTCATTTGATACCTTTGGCAGGAACTTCTAAAACTGTTTTGTATGCATGTTGTCAGGATGATATGGAGGTCACTAGAAGTCACACAACTGCTTCACAATGTAAACCTGTCTCACCAGATGAAATAGGCTCTAGGGCTATGGACAAAACTGTAATGTTTGTAAATAATCAGGATGAACTAGAAATGACCAAGTCCCACACTGTTTGCATTGACTACCGAGCAGAAGAGAAAGCCATACTTTCAGATAGATCTAACTTTGGACAGTCCAGAAGGAAAAGCCTACAAAAACCTCCGGCTGAGGATAATGTTTTTTCTGAAAATGACCACCTGGCATCAAAAGACAGACAAGCAACAGAGGAATGGGCTAACAGAGGTCCTACAGAGAGCACTTTAGCATTTTCATCTGATGAGAACATGGATATGTCTAAATTAACCACTTGGAAAAATGCCAAAGATATGCAAAAGCCTGGATCTATGAACGAACTCCTATCAGTCAGAAGTCAGGGAAGAAAAAGCCTTAGACTCAAAAATGACAAGCCCATTGCATATTCAGAGAATGACAAAAATGACATGGCTATCACCCAGAGTTGTATGGTGGTAATAAGTAGTGAAAGTGCTCCTGAAGAGAGGGAAGCCTTCAGTTCGGTTCCTTTGACAGGAATCTCTAGAACTGTTTTGTCTGGCTGTAGGCAGGATGACATGGAGATCACTAGAAGTCATGCGATTGCCTCAACAAGTGAAACTATGTCACCAGATGAAGTAACTGTTAGGCCTATGGACAAAACTGTGATGTTTGTAGATAATAACGATTTGGATGTCACCAAATCCCATACTGTTTTCATTGATTGTCAAGCCACAGAGAAAATACTTAAAGAGCATCCTAAATTTGGAATAACAAAGGAAAAAAACTTGAGTATTTACTTTCCGAAGATTGATAGCTATGTTGAAGGACTCACTAAAAGCCAAGTATTGGCTGTAGAAAACAAAATTGTTCACCCTGAGCAAAAAGAAAATGTAATACCTTTTATTCCTATGAATACATTCTGTGGGCATCAAAGTGAAATGGGAATCATCAAATTCCATGAAGCTGTTGCAGATGAACAGGGCATGGAAAAAGTAGACCAGGCCTATACATTGGAGAAAGCCAGAATTGAAAGATGTCACTTAAGTAATACAGATAGAAAAAATGTGGATTTTACAGGTAGTCATGTAGCTGCTATTTGTGGATCCAGTGATAATTTTTCTTGCTCACCAGATGTTATTTCTCCTTTTAACAATTTGGAAAATAATGTCATGTCCTTACGTGATAAAGATAAAGCCAGTAAGAGCCTAGTGCAAAATGATCTTCCTTTTGCAGATAATTTAGCCAGTAAGTATTATTTGGAATCTGAGGGACCACCTCTTTTTGCTCCTTGTCCTTTATTAGAGAAGGAAGAAGTTATTCCAACTAATTGCAAAGGACAGATAGACTGTGCTGTAACACTGCTCAAAGATCAAGATCTGCAAAAAGAGCCTCAAAATGTATTACCTAGTCAAACTTTAGTACATAATCAAAACCTGGGGGAGATCACTAAACTTAATTCAAAGCGTGTATCTTTTAAGCTTCCAAAGGATCAAACAGAGGCCTTTGTTGATGATAATTTCATTAATTCTCAGCCTCATGTCTTAACCCAACAACTTCCATTAACCCCAAAAGGACAGAATGTTGTCAGTGAAGATGAGTCAAAACTGTCTAACACTGAAAACAAGAGTTTAAATATTGTTACAGAGAATTGCTCTGCATCCATATGTTCGAACAAATCGAAAATGCTTGATAATGAGAAAGAGTTTGCTATAGTCTGTGAAAAAGAACTTAAGGAAAATACAGATACCCACAGTAACACAGATTTGACTACCCAAGTCACTCAAACCCATGCCAATGCTAGAGAAGCAAATCCCATACTTGCATCTAATGTTCCATGTTTTAGTAGTGTCAAGCCAAGCCTGAATAATTTGAATGGAAAACCTGGTGAGTTTTTAGATTTTCAAACTGCTTATATACTACCTTCTTCAGAAGAATTACTCCGGTTAGAAAACAAGCCACTCAATGATGTGACTATAGCACAATCCACAGAAATAGATAACCTAACCTCCAATGATGCTAAAGAAGAAAACAAAAAATCTCATAATGGGGATGAAACTACCTCTGTACCTTTAAAGACAGCTATTAAAGATAAAATGAAGAGATGTTCTTTGGGAATATTTTTGCCCAAATTGCCAAACAAGAGAAATTGTAGTGTCACTGGTATTGATGACCTAGAACAGATGCCAGTAGAGGTAACTGCTTTAAATCATTTAGAAACTCAGCCTGTCTCCACCAAAGATTCAGGAATTGGATCTGTTGCAGCTAAACTGAATTTAAGTCCATCTCAATATATAAATGAGGAAGATCTTCCCATATGTTGTGGTGAGATTAATTCCTCAGACTCGATTAACATAGAAATTGAGGGAAAGGCTTTGATTGAGACATACCAAAAAGAGATTTCACCATCCGAAGACAACATGGAAGAAACCAGCAACAACCAAAAAAGAACCTGGATACAAGAAGAAGATGATGTTGAGAATGAGAAAAAAATCAGAAAATATGAGATTAATTTTAGTGATTCTACACAACATCAGGAGGTGAGCTCTTTGTTTTGTTTTCTGTGGGGTTTTTTTGTTTGGGTTTTTTTTGCCTTTTTGAGACAGGGTCTCACTATACAGTTCACTTTGACCTTGAGCTCACTTTGTAGCCCAGGCTGGTCTCAAACTTGCAATAATCCTCCTGCCTCAGCTTCCCTAGTGCTGGAATTACAAGTGTGCACCACCATGCCAGGCTGTTTTCTGTATTTTTTAAAACAGGGTCTTGCTATATAGTGCAGGCTGGCCTTGAATTCACAATAATCCTCTTGCCTCCGCCTCCTGAGTGCTGGGATTACAGGCATGTTCCATCACACTTGGTTTTTTTAGTTTAATTTTTTTTTTTTGTACCGGGAATCAAACTCAGAACCTTGCGCTTGCCGGGCAGGCGCGTGTGCCGCTGAGCTATATCCCCAGCCCCCCACACCCGGCTTGAACTCTGTTTTGAACCAAAGAATGTTTGTTTTGAGACAGGGTCTAATTATGCAGTTCAGGCTGGTCTTAAACTTACTTTGTAGCCCAGGCTGGCCTCGAACTCACAATAATCCTCCTACCTCAGGCGTGTACCACCCTACCTGGCTCTACCAAAGAATGTTCTTGAGGACTTTTTTTTTTTTAACTTATGGGTATCCTTGAATTTAAATCTTTAAACATGTAAAAATTATTTCTATTACAAGGCTACAGAAACATTCCTATATACAATCTCCAGGAAGTAATTTACTAACAGCCAGACTTCAAAATAACTTATAGTGACAAATAGCCACAAAAAATGGAAAGTATTACAAAAATTAACCAGTGTTAGCAGGGTGTAGTGGCGAGATCCTATAATCCTAGCTTCTTGTGAGGCTGAAGCAAAGGGATCAAGAATTTGAGGGCAGTCTGGACAATTTAGTGAGATTGTCTCAAAACAAAAATAAGGGCTAATGAGGTGCTCAGCATTCCTTAGGTTGAGTCCCCAGTACAGCCAAAAGTACCAGGCAAGACATGATGGTGCACACCTATAGTCCCAGCAGTCTGGAAGGCTGAGGCACAGGATTGAAAGTTCCAGCCAAGCCTGGGCAGTTTAACAACTTAACAAAATCTGTCTCAAAATAAAATAATGAACTGGGGATGTAGCTCAGTGCAAAGGCCTTGGGTTTAATCCCTAGTATTACAAAGAAAAAAACGTTCATACTATATAATTCTTAACTTCTGTCACCCCCGGTGAGTTGTAATGTTTTGCATGTGAGAATCTCTTGGGGGTGTGTTTTGAAAAGTCTACTTCAGTGTTAGAAATATTTGGGAAGTGGGCCGGGCATGGTAGCACACGCCTGTAATCCCAGCACTTGGGAGGCTGAGGCAGGAGGATCATTTCCATTTGGGACCACCCTGGGCTACAAAGTGAGCTCAAGGCCAACCTGAACTGCATAGCAAGACCCTTTCTCAAAAAGACAAAAGAAAAAAAAAGAAAGAAAAGAAAAGAAAAGGCTTTCCTGGGATGTAAACTGCAAAAGAAAAAAAAGCTTAGCTGGGTGTGGTAGAACACACCTGTAATCCCAGGATTGGAAGGGCTGAGATAGGAGGACTGCAAGTTCTAGGCCAGGTGGCAAATCTGTGGCACACATGCCGCAGCTGGCTGTTTATATCATTGAAAGCTCTAAAAGATTTGTCATCACTGTTCTAGGCCAGCCTGAACAACTTAGTGAGATGCTATGTCCAGATAAAAAAAAATAAAAAGGGCTGGGGATGTAGTACAATGTGAAACCCATAGGTTCAATCTCCAAAAAGTAAAGAAAAGCTTACCAAGTTTTCTTGGCTAATGAAGATATATAGAAACTGAGCATTCATTTCTTAGTGTGTGGGAGAATGCCTAGGTCAAGCCCAGTATCACAAAGTGAAGCAAGACTGTATTTCTTGAAAAACAGATTTCTTTAATTTTTTTTTTAATTTTTGTTTTTTAAATTGAGAGAAGTTTGTTTGGATAACTTTGTAGAGAATAAAACTGATCACTCCTAAGTTTTTTTATAGGTGGGGAAATGGAGATTAATAAAATACCTACAAAGTTTAAATTCTGTTAAGATCCACATAAATAAATGTAGAATGATTTCAGTGCCTCTTTAAAGTGGGTCTTCAAGCATGGTAGCCCACACCTGTAATCCCAGCAGTTGGAAAGCTGAGGCAGGAGGATTGTTGC